GGAGAGGGCTCGCAACCTGGGCGTCCTCCTGGATGCTTGGCTGTCTTTAGACGATCATGTGACGGCCGTGGCCAGGGGGGCTTTTCATCAGGCTCGCCTGATACGCCAGTTGTGCCCCTTTCTGGATCGGGACGCCCTACGCACAGTCACTCAAGCCCTCGTTGTTTCCCGCCTGGACTATTGCAATGCTCTCTACATGGGGCTCCCCTTGAGGTGCACCCGGAGGCTCCAGCTAGTTCAGAATGTGGCTGCGTGGGGGATTTTGGGGGCCTCTAGATGCTCCCATGTAACACCTCTCCTGCGCGAGCTGCACTGGCTGCCGGTGGCCTTCCGGGTGTGCTTCAAGGTGTTAGTAACAACTTTTAAAGCGCTCCATGGCAATGGACCTAGGTATTTGCAAGACCGCCTCCTATCAAACACCTCCCTTCGGCCAGTCCGCTCCCACAGAGAGGGCCTCCTTAGAGTGCCGTCGGCCAGACAATGCCGGCTGGTGACCCCCAGGGGGAGAGCCGCCTTTGTGGCAGCTCCTGCCCTCTGGAATGACCTATCCCCCGACCTACGTACAGTTGCGGACCTGCGCCTTTTTCGCCGAGCCCTGAAGGCCCATCTATTCCGTGTGGCCGGCCTGGCGTAGATTGATTATGTTTCAGTGGGGGGTTTTTTACAGGTGTGTTTTTAGAACAGGCCCGTTATTTAATTCGATTTTAAAACAAACTATTTATTACCGTGGTTTTTAGTATTGCCTGTTCACCGCCCTGAGTCCCGCAAGGGAGCTAGGGCGGTATATAAATTTAATAAATAAATAAATAAATAAATGGACTGCCCCTGTGACTAGGACAGACGGGGAGGAAGCTAACCACCAGATTACAAAAACACAAGTGAGTGGTCAGATGAGGAAACCTGGACTCATTGGTAGCCTCCCATTGCAATGAACAAGGACACACATTTAATTTTGCAGCTACTAAGATTTTTGGACGAGCAGGCACAAAAACAGCCAGGGAAGTGATTGAAGACTGGGAAACAGGCCCCTCATCAATCAACAGGACTGCTGATTTACCACCACCCTATTAAGTACTTAGAAGGTGAGGGCAGGGCAATAGAAGCAAACAACAGCTAATGATTTAAAAGTCAGCCATCAACAAACTCCAATCTACATCTAAAAAGCCACATACAACAGGCACTATAAATACCATATACAGAACAGCACACACTCTGCTAGAGGGAAGTTTCCTGAAGATGGGCTTCAGCATGAAAGCTTGGAAGACCAAAGCTCTGGCTGAGAAAACTGACCCAAATTGTATCCTGCATTTAAACTTTTATTTTATTTATTGTGACAACCCAGTTATTATATAAGTTTAATATTGTAGGAGATGCATTGACTATTTATTTCCAGGCACAATTCAAGGCATTTTGTCATCACCTTTAAGGCTACACATGGTAGAATGTGTTCACCCAAAGCATATCTTTGGAGAGTATTTAGTAAGAGTCCCTGCTCTGTCTAAGATATGAAGTTAGATCTGAATGCAAGTTTTTTCTTCAGGTGGTATTGCCTTCTCACCAGAAATAAAAACAGTTCCATGTATTCCAGAATATTTTTTTTAAATCTGCTTTTGGGAACTGAGGTGAAAATGAAAAATATATCTGAACAAAGATATATCTGGCTGCCTGATATTATGTTATTTGTTTACTTGTTTCAATCAATATACAGTATATGGTGATATATATTCTAACAGTAATTCTGGGTAGATACATAGAATGAAAACTCACTAAAAATAATCAATAACAACAGTAATAAATATATAGTGTCAGCAAAGGCCAACTATCACTATAAATAAATATTCATCTCTACCAATCCCATTAACTTGCCAATTACCACACCGGGGAGAACATGGGCGCAGGCATGTTTTTAAGGATCTATGAAATATTATCTGAATTTCAGGGCTAATGGTGTTCCAGAGGACAAGGTCTGCTTTCTATGTCCCACCAGATAATATTCCCTGATAGAAACAACTGAGGTCATGCCCCTGCTGTTGGACCCAAGGAGAAGCAATCAGAGAGAGAGAGAGAGAGAGAGAGAGAGAGAGAGAGAGAGAGAGAGAGAGAGAGAGAGAGAAGGATGAGTGATGATGGTGGTGGTGGTGGCAAAGATGTTAATATTTATTGTAATTATTGCTGTTTGATGAATTTTGATTTACTCAATGTATTCCATATTATGTTGCAAGTTCTTTGAGTGCTATGATTGAAGCAACATAGAGGAATTTGCAATAAATAGAATAAACATCATTTTTAATAAAATGTAAGTCAATTTAATTGAGTTTTCAATTTAAACAACTGGATTAACTGACAATTTATCTTAAGTAACTTCTCAAATAATTAGGCAGCATGCCTCCAAAAGTCAGAAAATACGATGTTAAATCATTATCTTCTTGTACATATGGAGTTACACTGCATACTAATGTGCTACTAATCTCTGTAATAATGGATTGTTTGCTACAGTTAAAACAATGCTGGAGATTATTTTTATTGAAGTTCATCGTGTAGTACAAGGCAAAAAGAACGAATATTACAATGCTTAAACCATGTATAAAAATCATGTTTTAATTGTATTTAAGAAGCTAAGATTCAATTATTTGGCTGTGCTGTTCATGACTTCTGCACTGTTTCTTTTTACAATATGGCTTTACTGAAGAAAAACAACCCTATAATTTAAAAAAAATAAT